CATCTAACATTGTTCTGAAGATTATAATGAAGCCTTTACCTGTTGCGTTGACACAGTAGTTTTCTTCATCTACACAATTAAGAGTATTATTGCAACTTTGTCCATCACAGAAGTAGCACTTTTTACCATTTGGAGGGGGATTAGAAGGAACAGCTAAGAAACAAAGATAGTTCAGCCAATGAAAAGAAATCCGGGATTAAAATTATTAAAATTATTTATATTTTATAAATATTTACAATATTTCAATAAATTTTTACTCTTCCAACATTTATTTCTTAAAGTATGGATTTATTTTTGTATATTTATTCAATTTAAGAAAAAAATATATAGAAAAAAAAGGGGGAAAAAAGAAAAAGAGGGAAAAAAGGAGAGAGGAAAAAAAAAGGAAAAAGGAAAAATCAATAGCACAGTAGCTGGTTTGTTTAACCTGGTTGTGGATGGTAGATTTAATTTATATATATATATATATATATATATATATATATTCATTTATTTATTTTTTTTCCACTTATTTATTTAATTTTTTATTTTATATATATATAATTATTATCATCACTTAATGGGAATTGTTTTTGTGATATTTAATTTTCACCTTGTGAACGATGAGCATGCTTGGCTTGCAGTTGGGTGCTGTCTGCCTATGTACTGGTATGTGAAGGCAGTATGGCCTATATAACATTTTCACTATCGAGATTTCCTGTATCAAAACCCATTATACCCCATTTCATAGGCTGTTCTGTAAGGGAGGGTAGGGGTCGGAGGGTGAGAGTTGTGGGTAAACTGTTTAATTGTTAATACCTTGTTTCACACAGTTAATCTTTGTATTAATTTCACTTCATGGATAAGGTGTAATATGTATCTGTAATACCCAAAATTCCATAAATAAATCATAAATAAAAAAAAAATAGCAAACTGTAAAGGAAAATTATTTCGAAAAAAGATCTGTATGGGGTGATTTGGTGAGTTCAAGATGAACAGCACCTCACCTGGAATACTGAGCAAAGCAAATTGAAGGGAGGAAGTGGCTGGGTGAATTAATTGGGGGGGAGGTTCACTTATTGGATCATCCGATAATGTGGGGACTGACCACCATTGCTGCCGGGTCCTTGGTCCTGGGATTATTGGATGTGGTTGCTGTGTGTGAATCTGCGTCCGCATTTTTTTTTTTTTTTTGCTCATCTTCACAGAGACTGTGTGTTGTAAATGGGGGCACTAGGGTGGGAGGGCATGATTGAGACTGTTTTTTTTTTTTTTTTGTCAGGTTGGGGTCTGAACTGCTCCCTCTACCAAGCACATCTCAAGTTTCCACCAAGCGTGGAGCCCATTTACTCCGTCCTGCTCTCCCTCCGCTGGCTGGCGCCTGGGCCCACCAGTGCACTGGTGGAGCTCGGGGTTTGGGGGTGGATGCCCGGGAAACTGGCTACTGGCTTATTCCTGGTCGCTTCTCCGCGGAGCCTGGTCTGCCGGGGCCTTGCTGAGGCTCCCCCCGGGGGATGGGGAGCCCCTGGGGCTTCGGATCACTGGGGCCCATAGCCGGATTCACTTCGTGGTGGCTGGCAGCCGGCGGAGCCAGCAGACTCATCCCCGTGGCTCCGGCATTGTGGTGGCTGGGGGACTTCCTTGGGGCTGTCTCTCCTCCTCCCTTGGTGGGGGTCGGATTCCTGGGCTGGCCCCTCCTTGGCGCCTTTGCTCTTGGGGTCCCTTTGGGCATCTAGGGCTTTGGGTCCCCTGGCGCTTGGCTCTGTGCTCTCGGGGGGTGCATCTTCGGCTCTTCACAAGCAGTATTGAGCATTCTTTCTTTGGATAAACTTTCCATGCAAAAGTGCACCCTCACAAACAACTTCAGGTGCTTGGTTCCACGTACTTAGAGATTCACTTCCACACAGAAAGTCCACTTTCTTATCTTCAGGTAACACAGAGTACATGTCAGATTAAATAATACTACTTATACTTCAGCTATAGTATCTAGGTGTTATTTTATTGTATGTCTTGTACCATGTTGTTTGTGCTGTTCTTTTTACATCTCTTTGCAGGTGATGAAGCAGACTGAAGATGCTTTATCATTATCTCCCTTTTATCTCATCTTTCTTTAATCTTTCCCCCCTTTTTTTCTGTTTTTCCTTTCCTGTTCTACCTACTTTGCAGTGTCCATATAATCAGTAAAACTCCCTGCATATATATAATAAAGCAATTTATATGCATAACTCAAACAGAACACTATGGCAATAGCCCTACTGCTCCACTTTTGAAAGTAAAATCTGTTGGGCACGTTTTTGGATTTAAGACAATTATTCCAATTGCCACTTATCCAGACAGGACACTGTTACAAAAAAGAAAAAAAAGGAATACTGAACAAGGTGGATGCCGGCCATCTGTCCAGCTCACAACAGACTTTTAACCCCGCCCACAAGCAAAGCTGTAAACTCTCGTCCACACTCGAGTAGAGGTGCTGCTCGTCTCAACACACCTACTGTCTGAGCGAGGCAGCCTGGACATTAGAGTTTCCTCATGAATATTAACAAAGGAAACGTAAACATCTTTGAACAAATTATCACCACTCAGCTGTCCACCCTGCTGAGACTGGCAGATAGGAACACAGGCCCACTCATGACATATTTTTACCATTGAGCAAAGACTTAGATTTGGAGAGAGAGAGAAGAAAGAGGCTTTGAAAGAGAAGTATTTTTTGGGGGAAAATTTATTTTTGAGATAGTTTTCCCCCTTGGAAATAATTTTCCAAATGTCAGTTTATCTTTTATTTATTCTTTGACAACGTATTTTCTCTCTAAACTTCTTCAGTCTCAGATAACATCAGTTGTTTCTATCAGTATGAAAATGCTGCAAAGTACTGCAAAATTTCCAAACAAATGAAGAGGGGATTTTTACCTGGATAGTTTGTGTTGCAGAGATTTGTTGAGCAGCAGGTGGTTTTCAGCACAGTTCTGGCTGTTCCCAGGTTGAGGGATCCATCAACACACCCTTCAGGCAGACCACAACCTCTGGCCTTTTCTTCATTAAGCTTACTACTACCTATACGCAGAGAACACATGTTTTAAGAAGTATTGGAAATAAATAAAGGACCACTAACAAGTAGAAATTACATAATTATGTACCTTGAAAGACAGCAGTTGTTGATGCTATGCACTGATTACTCTGTGTGGCACAGGTAGCTGTTCCCTCCATGCAATTCCCAGTGGAATCCGGTATACACTGATAACAGTTCAGGGTGTCGGCTAATTTAAATAATGAGAAATGTACTTTACTGCCATTTGTATATGAAATAAACAGTATTACTGCATTATTTCTAAATGTCAAAGTGCAAGCCTTAAAAAGGATTTTTAAAAAGTTTATATACAGAGTAGAAGGAAGATAACTGGTAACCAAAGGATTCTTAGCAAGAAAAGCAGAAATCAGTTTAATTGTTGTTGTTTGCACCATGAGAAAAGAGGAAGGAACTTGAGATGACGATGATGAAATAATTAATAAATCTAGTAATGATATAAAATATTGAAATTACAAAAAACTTTCCTACTGGGAGGAACAACACTTCAAAAACCAGTGTGAAGACAACATTTTGACCATGCTTTTCTTCCTTCTACTCAACTGACACTCTTGAAATTGAACAAATCATCCTGATTTACAGATTTATTTTTTATATTTATTTCCCCTATTGAATAGAATAATACAAAGATCACAGACTAGTCTGTTATTACTCTAAAAGTACACCTATAATACATAGTGACCAAAATATAAATACAAAGTTTGTTAATCATCACCCGCTGTAAAATTAATCACATCTTTAGTATCATATTTTAGAAAAAAAAACAGGACAGTATTCCTACATGTTAGGTTTGATTGAGATAAAGCATTTGTTTAACCATATGATGACGAACCTTTTCATTTGTTGACTAAATGAAAGTATGAACCTTTCCATCTGAATGATTTTCCACAAAATCTACTGGGCTAAAGATCTTCAAGCAACACCTGCCCTTGTCTAAAGAAACTCAGAGATAAGGAACAGAGTTATTACCCTCTTTATTGCAG